ATACAAATAACCATCAATCGCCCTCAGTCTGAAGCTCTATGCAAGATTTTGCCTCATAGGGTAAGGATTATCATAAGAAAAGTGAGAGGCTCAGCCCAGAACTACACAGGAGGAGCTTGTGAATGATCTCAAGGCAGTTGGGACCACAGTCAACAAACAAACTATTGGTAACACAATACACAGCCACTGATTGAAATCCTGCAGCGCCCCCAAGGTCCCCCTCCTCAAGAAGGCACATTAACAGGCCCATCTGAAGAATGCCAATGAACATCTAAATGATTCAAAGAAGGATTGGGTTAAAGTGCTGTGGTCAGATGAGACCAAAATTGAGTTCTTTGGCATTAACTCGACTCACCACGTTTGGAGGAAGAATAATGCTGACTCTGACCCTAAGAACACTATCCCTACAGTCAAGCACGGAGGTGGAAACATTCTGCTTTGGGGCTGTTTCTCTGCTAAAGGTACAGGCCAACTTTGCCACATTCAGGGGCATGTATTGTAAAATCTTGGAGTGGCCTAGCCAGTCTCCAAACCTTAATCCTATAGAAAATTTATGGTGGGAGCTGAAACTTCGAGTTGCCAAGCAACAGCCAAGAAATCTTAAGGATTTATTGAAGATCTGTAAAGAAGAGTGGACCATAATCTCTCCTGAGATGTGTGCAAACCTGGTAACCAACTACAAGAAACGTCTTACCTCTGTGTTTCTCAATAAGAGTTTCTCCACCAAGTACTAAGTGAAGTTTTGCTTGGGGATCAAATACTTATTTTACTCACTGAACTGCAACTCAGTTTATATCATTTGTATTGTGTTTTTTCTGGATTTTTGGTTGATATTCTGTCTCTATAATTTGAAATACACCTATGATAAAAATTATAGACTCATAATTTCTTTGTAAGTGGGCAAACCTACAAAATCTGCAGGGGATCAAGTAATTATTTTCCCCACTGTAAGTATAACATGTTTGTTATTTTTTCTTTAAAAAAAAAAAAAAGCCTTTAAAATCACTTTAAACTGTAAATAGCCACCCCCCTTAAAAAATCCATTATTAGAAAAAAAAATGGTCCCCCAATCTATAACCAACTAGATCTCTAGCGATGTATATAAAGAACTCACACCATAACAATTCTCTCCCACTGGAGTTCTATCACAAATGATAGCTCCCTGCTGAATCTCATCAAACTGCCTGACCAAATATGGTTAATGATGTCACCAGGCATCCCCAGCCTGTTAGTTTACATTTAGCTGCTGGCCAGGGAGCTGTTATTTACAAAGGGAGTCCGGTGGGAGAGGAACATCATGGTGCAAGGTGCTGTGTTATTATTACAGGTACTTATATAGCACCATCAATGTACACAGCACTTTACATATATATTGTACATTCACATCAATCCCTAACCCTCAAGGAGCATACAACCTAAGTTCACTAACTCACATTCATACACATACTAGGGCAAATTTAACTACAAGCATGACTGTGGAGTGTTGGAGGAAACCCATGCAGACAAAGGGAGAACATGCAAACTCCAGGCAGGTGGTGCCGTGGCTGGGATTTGAACCAACAACCCTAGTGCTGCCAGGCAGAAGTGCAAACCACTTAGCCACTATGATGCCAGCTAGTGGTACATCATTCACTGTGAGTGATGCTGGATGATGTGTTCACTAATGTTTTTTTCAACAGTGTGCATGTTTATTTACTGTTTGACCATTTTATGTGAATGTACCATAGATCCCCACACATCCACCCAACCAGGGATGCGGGGCTGATATCCTTGTCCTCATCAACATAGGGGCACGGTGCCTTGTGGAGGGGAGGGTATGTGCCCATAATGGTGGCAACATTCTGAGAAGCTTTCCCTCACTTCCGCTTGGTTTTGCCAGAAAGGAAGTGATGAGAAATCTCCCCTCCTTCCCGGGAGAGACTCACCATCACAGCTCTCCGGAATTAAACCATTTTTAGATGTCTTCATTCCCCCACCAACAGCCCTCTGTGCCATCAGTGCTGCCTATATAAAACTCACCTGGCTCCATTCGCGGAGTCTCACGTCCACTCCCCTGGCTCCCCTCTTCCACCTGTCGCCCAGCCCCTGGTGCCCCTTGGAACCTCCTCAAACACAGCACCATCCGCTGCCAGTCACCGGTGCGACTTCACCACATAGAAATCCGTGGTTGAAGCCAGAGCAATGGGCAGGTAGGACAACCAGCTTCCCTTCTTCCAGGGGGCAGTGCCGCCCCCCCCAAAAAGTACCACCCTAGGCAAACGCCTTGTTTGCCTCACAGTAAATACACCCCTGCAAACCTGTCAGGTTTTAATTGCTGTCTTTGCCCCCATTAGGAAGAATCACCCTCTCTATTTGTCTTGTTTACCATAATCACCTTGAGTGAAAGTAAAAGAAAATCCTACATTTTGGGCTGTCCCCAGAACAGGAATCTTTCTAAGGGGAAACTAGTTCTGGTGACATCCCAGGATTACTTCATTTTGTAGGGATTTCCTCTCACTTCCTGTTGTGGCTATGGGACAGGAAGTGAAGGGAAAGCTCCTCAATGGGACCAAGACGGCAAAAATCCTGACGGGGTTATAAAGCTCCCTTACTCTATCCAATAGGGAAAAAAACCAAGGTAAAACTTTTTTTCGTTTTGGATAGAGTGGAGAGGGATTAGATCACCTGTTAGGGGTTTATTGTTGTTTGTGTCCCTGATTCACCCTATTTGTCCTGGATACTGTTTTTTATATTACAGGTACTTACTATCACTGTTATTATCAAAAGTGAAAGAATTTTGGGTTGTTTCCAGAACAGTAGTAGAGGTGAAATCCTCCAATGGGAGAAATTACTTCTACTGACCCTGGTGACACCCTGAGATTCCCTCCCATTCGGCAGATTTCTTATCACATCCTGTTTTGGCTATGGGACAGGAAGTGAAGGAAAATGTTATCAATGGGACACAGATGACAAAAACATGACAGGGGTTTTAACCCTCCCATATTCTATCCAAAATTAAAAGGGAACCTCACTGTATCTGAGCACTGCAAACCATAAAATGTTATTTAATTCATGTTTAATATTCAAAGCAAGCTTCCCCATCCATCATTGTCTCTATACTTTATTTTGCTGAGAAAAATCACTTTGAAAAACACTGCCTAGGATTTCTGGCCCTGGGCATCTTGAGAAAGGGCAGATGATACATGTAGCATTTACTTGCTGGAATCCATCTGTCCTAAGCTCAGGCATGTAGGCAGGAGGGTGTGCTTAGCTAAGAAAACCCCTCCTCCCCTCCTGGGATCTATGCCATTATTTGCCTAGGCAAATGAGGAACCCCCTCCTCCCCTCCTGGGACCTATGACATCATATGCCTAGGCAAATGAGAAACCCCCTCCTGAAAACTTCTGGGATCTATGACATAATTTGCCTAGGCAAATGAGAAACCCCCTTCTCCCCTCCTGATGACGCTTGGGATCTATGACATCATTTGCCTAGGCAAATGAGAAAACCCTTCTTCCCCTCCTAATGACTCCTGGCATCTATGACATCATTTGCCTAGGCAAATGAGAAACACCTTCCTCATGACTCCTGGCATCTATGACATCATTTGCCTAGGCAAATGAGGAACCCCTCCTCCCCTCCTGATGACTCCTAGGATTTATGACACAATTTTTCTAGCAAATGAGAAGCCCCCTCCTCCCCTACTGGGATCTATGACATCTTTGCCTAGGCAAAAGAGAACCCCCTTCTCCCCACCTGATGACTCCTGGGATCTATGACATCATTTGCCTAAGCAAATGAGAAACCCCTCCTCCCCTTCTGATGACTACTGGTATCTATGACATCATTTGCCTAGGCAAATGAGAATACCCCACCTCCCCTCCTGATGACTACTGGTCTGTCATAGATGATGGCATCTATGACATCATTTGCCTAGGCAAATGAGAAACCCCCTCCTGATGACTCCTGGCATCTATGACATCATTTGCCTAGGCAAATGAGAAACCCACCCCTGGGATCTATGACATAAGTTGCCTAGGCAAATAAGAAAACCTCTCCTCCCCTCCTGATGATGCTTGGGATCTATGACATCATTTGCCTAGGCAAATGAGAAAACCCTTCTTCCCCTCCTGATGACTCCTGGCATCTATGACATAAATTTGCCTAGGCAAATGGGAAACACCTTCATGACTCCTGGCATCTATGACATCATTTGCCTTGGCAAATGAGGAACCCCTCCTGATGACTCCTAGGATTTATGACACAATTTTCCTAGCAAATGAGAAGCCCCCTCCTCCCCTCCCGATGACTCCTGGCATCTATGACATCATTTGCCTAGGCAAATGAGAAACCCACCCCTGGGATCTATGACATAAGTTGCCTAGGCAAATGAGAAAACCCCTCCTCCCCCTCCTATGACTCCTGGGATCTATGACATCATTTGCCTAGGCAAATGATAAAACCCCTCCTGAAGACTCCTGGGATCTATGACATAATTTGCCTAGGCATGGAAACCAGAAAGTAACTGAAGAAATGTAAAAAAAAAAAAAAGTTTAAAACAATATATACTTCGTATGCACTAATGCTAGCAGCATAAGGATTCAAGATAGTACTGAGAGAGTGAAGTTCTGTCTATGGGAAACAGTTTACCTCAGTTCTTAAACCCTTCCCGACTCCCTCAAAAAAAAAAAGATTTGTCTTCGTGCATCTCTGAGGGGATACAATCCCTCCTCCGTGCAGCTCAATCACACAGGAAAACACTTCAGTGGACCATTGTTATTTGAATGCATTACAGACAAGAAACCTCCACACTATTCCCTCCAACCCCCCTTTCCTTCCCGCCCTCTACACTCACGTGGTGATGTCATGACACCGCCCACCGAAATCACTTGACTGTTCTATGCCTACTTCCGAGTTTTGATTCCTGTTTATCGAATGATCCCGCCTCCTTTAGTCGCTTATTGGTGCTGAGAGGAATTCATGCTTTTTGATTGGCTGGAGCGCTGAGCAGTGAGTCTCGCCGCTCTTGCTGTGTCACCTGGGCTAGTTCCGGGAGTCTGTGTAAGTGGAGGAGCCTTACTGGGGGATCAGGTAATGTGTGTCCGATTATCTGTTTACCCATTCTGTGACAGTCCATGTGTTCTCTGTGTGAGTGGAGGAGGTGGGATCTATCACAACTGGGGCAGCTGTGCATGGCAACCAATCAGCTTCTAGCTTTCATTTTTAAAGCTTAACTGAACAAGCTGAAGCTACAAGCTGATTGGCTGCCATGCACAGATGCTTCAGTTGTGATACATTCCCCCCAGTGTGTGGGATCCTTTTTGCCCATCCATTGACAGAGCTGTCATCCTGTGATAGTCCCTGTATTGTGATATGTCTGTGTAAAGGGAATAATCCTTCTTGATCTTGCAGAGATTAGTGGATGTTCATTGTAAAGAGAACCGCTGTGGAAAATGCTCTCAGACAAGCACCTTAGTGGAGGTGCATCTTTATTGGGTGAGATAAAGTAGCAAGTATAATAAAATTAACCAGCCTGAAGTGGACAGTGTGATTCCAATGGACGGCCCGTCCGCTCTGAGGGGAGCTGAGATCAAAGAATGCTCCTGTCGACTTCAAATCACGTGGTGTCAGCGTACCAGCGTCCTGGGTGGTGTCACCATGGCAAACGAAGGCAGTGTCCGGCGTTGGCTGCTGGGAGCATATGTGGGGTTACCAAGATGTTCATTGTAAACCTCCACACTACAATCCATGACACTGATGGTCCCAGGCTGACTGGGGTAGTATGGACACAGAACATTGGGCAGTGTGTGCCCCATATATACATTGTACAACACCACCACGTTCTGCCACGTCGAAGGCTAGCTTCATATCTGTGCGGGATGGGAACATTTGCATAATCACGTGCATTCCCGACCCGCAGGCAGAACGCACTGCAGTTTTGCAGAAACGCTATTAAGGTTCCCGCTGCTGCGATCTGACTTGTGTGAACCAGGCCTAATTCTTAAATGGAACCCCAACTCATCAGAAAACGCAGAGCGTTTTCAGGGGCGCAAAATTACATGGTGCTGCACTATGTGGCTCAGTGTAGCTGAATTAAAAAAAAAAAGGTTGGGGGCTTTTTCCCCACAGATATATCCGCCTATTCAAATGAATGGGCTGCCATGCCCACACAAATACGCCTGCAGGGAACCGCACAGATGCAAATCTAGACTTTGGGTCAAAAAGCGACCGATTTTTCGTCCTGAAAATCGGACCTAAGAATAATTAGCCGATTTTCACTCTGTTAGTGGGTCAATGGCACTGGCTGATTTTCGTGGTTCCTCCCCTTTTCGCTGATCGGGCATGTTGAAAAATTTGTGAGAAACAACAGATTTTCAACTCAATGATGGTCAAATCGTACGTTCGTTTTTCCGAAAAGAATATGCGCATGAGCCATGACCTGGAAGGAACAGAAGTTTTGCATGTTATATGGGGTGAACTTTATGACTTGGTCAGCCGATTTTCGAAATGGATGGCACCATCGGATTACTGAGCAAACGATGTTTCGGATTTTCGGATGAAAAATCTTTCGGTATTCAAATCATGTATGGCCTGCATAATGGCCAGTTCAAACTAGAACGCATAGCCGGAAAAGCCAGATTCTGTACAGCTAGCAAGCTGCTTTTGCAAGATGCACGAGGATGCCATTAATTGTTAATGTCGCTCCAAATGCATCTTACAAAAGAAGCACTTTTGTGGCCACCAAATCATGTGGTACTGCAGTACCATGTGGTTTATTGCGCTGCAATTTGCAGAAGTAGCGCCTGTAAGGAGATATGTCTTATTAACTGGCATCCGTTTTTTTATTATGCCTCCATTTCTAGATGTGTGAACAGTTAATTTTGCTTGTAACTTATCTCTCGTTTTCTGAGAATAGTTAACATTTGTGATGAAACGGAACCACCTTATATGGTATCCCTCAACTACTGTATTTGCAGTTTTCATTCTTCACGTAACTATATTGATAAGAATGGAATGTTTTATTGGTCATCCTAAGATTAAAGTGGAGTTCCAATAACTCTGTAAAAAAATAAGTCAGCAGCTACAAAAACTGTAGCTGCTGACTTTTAAAAAACAACCACTCACCTGTCCCATGATCCCGCGTTGCCCTCACTGCAGCCCGTTTCACCGGCCATCCTGTATTCCAGGAGGAGCCGGCATCTTCAGTGTGGGCACCCGGCTGTGACAGCTTGCGGCTTCACATCCGGGTGCCCACTGCACATGCGCGAGTAGCGCTGCACTTCCTAAATGGTCCCATCATCTTCTGGGATCTGTCACGTGTCCCACAAGACTTCAGGGAGGTAGGGAAGAAGGACAACTTCTGCTTCCGATCGCCTAGGCAATCACAGCGGAAGTGAGAGTGGGTACCTCTCAAATTCGGTTACCCGTTCCCCCGCTCCCCAAAAGTGCCAATCCTTAATGGGGAGCGGAGGACCAATCTTTAAAACGGAACTTTCTCTTTTGGGTGGAACTCCGCTTTAAGCAACACCCACTGAGTTCTGTATAACAGTTCTTGTCATGCGTTAAATTTTCAGAGATTTAGCTTGCACAATTCGGTGTCTGGAGCTTTATTTCTCCCAGGCCTGGTGGAAAAAATAATGAGGACAGGGGCTACAGACATAGGCTGATTCCTATCAGCGCCTGTCTATGTTTTGCACATTCATATGCAGCTGGCAACCCATTGAAATCAATGGGCTGTCAAAACCAGAACACACAAAAACACAAATGGTCTAATGTTGGCAGCACAGTGGCTAAATGGTTATTATTACCACCTGGCAGTACTGGGATCGTTGATTCGAATCCCAAACACGGCACCACCTGCCTTTAGTTTGCATGTTCTCCCTGTGCCCGCGTGGGTTTCCTCTGGGTACTCTGGTTTCCTCCCACACTTCAAAGACATGCTAGTAGGTTAATTGGCTTCTGTCTAAATTGGCCCTCGTATGTGTATGTATGAATGTGAGTTAGGGACCTTAGATTGTACACCCCTTGAGGGTTAGGGACTGATGTGAATGTACAAAATGTATGCAAAGCGCTGAATAAATTGGCGGCACCATATAGGTACTTGTAATAAATAAATAAATTGATCCTTACACAGGAGAAGCCTGGCATGTCCTTGGAGAAATGTGGGGCTGCTGCTACTTACCTCCTCTGACAATGCTAGTTGTCTGGCTGTATCAAAAGCCAGTACTTGTGAGCCAATAACCAGAACAAGCAGACAGCAGATTAGTCTGATTTTATATCTCCAGGCTGGTGACCAAGCATCACCCTGCTAACTAGGCAATTGCCATTTTTAAAAGAAGAACTGAGCAGTGGCAGCCTTCATATTCTGCTTGTGACAAGCTTCCTTCAGTCTCTATGGTCACACATCAGGACAGGCGCCCATCTTTAACATATAACAGACATACATCCGATCCTTGGGTCCTTTCTTTCTGCCTGTATGTTTTTTATATATACAGTCAGGTCCATAAATATTGGGACATCGACACAATTCTAACATTTTTGGCTCTATACACCACTACAATGGATTTGAAATGAAACGAACAAGATGTGCTTTAACTGCAGACTGTCAGCTTTAATTCAAGGGTATTTACATCCAAATCAGGTGAACGGTGTAGGAATTACAACAGTTTGCATATGTGCCTCCCACTTGTTAAGGGACCAAAAGTAATGGGACAGAATAATAATCATAAATCAAACTTTCACTTTTTAATACTTGGTTGCAAATGCTTTGCAGTCAATTACAGCCTGAAGTGTGGAACGCATAGACATCACCAGACGCTGGGTTTCATCCCTGGTGATGCTCTGCCAGGCCTCTACTGCAACTGTCTTCAGTTCCTGTTTGCTCTTGGGGCATTTTCCCTTCAGTTTTGTCTTCAGCAAGTGAAATGCATGCTCAATCGGATTCAGGTCAGGTGATTGACTTGGCCATTGCAGAACATTCCACTTCTTTCCCTTAAAAAACTCTTTGGTTGCTTTTGCAGTATGCTTTGGGTCATTGTCCATCTGCACTGTGAAGCGGCGTCCAATGAGTTCTGAAGCATTTGGCTGAATATGAGCAGATAATATTCCCGAAACACTTCAGAATTCATCCGGCTGCTTTTGTCAGCAGTCACATCATCAATAAATACAAGAGAAGCAGTTCCATTGGCAGCCATACATGCCCATGCCATGACACTACCACCACCATGCTTCACTGATGAGGTGGTATGCTTAGGATCATGAGCAGTTCCTTTCCTTCTCCATACTCTTCTCTTCCCATCACTCTGGTACAAGTTGATCTCGGTCTCATCTGTCCATAGGATGTTGTTCCAGAACTGTGAAGGGTTTTTTAGATGTCGTTTGGCAAACTCTAATCTGGCCTTCCTGTTTTTGAGGCTCACCAATGGTTTCCATCTTGTGGTGAACCCTCTGTATTCACTCTGAAGTCTTCTCTTGATTGTTGACTTTGACACACATACACCTACCTCCTGGAGGGTGTTCTTGATCTGGCCAACTGTTGTGAAGGGTGTTTTCTTCACCAGGGAAAGAATGCTTCAGTCATCCACCACAGTTGTTTTCCGTGGTCTTCCGGGTCTTTTGGTGTTGCTGAGCTCACCGGTGCGTTCCTTCTTTTTAAGAATGTTTCAAACAGTTGTTTTGGCCACGCCTAATGTTTTTTCTATCTCTCTGATGGGTTTGTTTTGTTTTTTTTTTCAGCCTAATGGTGGCTTGCTTCACTGATAGTGACAGCTCTTTGGATCTCATCTTGAGAGTTGACAGCAACAGATTCCAAATGCAAATAGCACACTTGAAATAAACTCTGGACCTTTTATCGGCTCATTGTAATTGGGATAATGAGGGAATAACACACACACCTGGCCATGGAACAGCTGAGAAGTCAATTGTCCCATTACTTTTGGTCCCTTAACAAGTGGGAGGCACATATGCAAACTGTTGTAATTCCTACACCGTTCACCTGATTTGGATGTAAATACCCTCAAATTAAAGCTGACAGTCTGCAGTTAAAGCACATCTTGTTCGTTTCATTTCAAATCCATTGTGGTGGTGTACAGAGCCAAAAATGTTAGAATTGTGTCCATGTCCCAATATTTATGGACCTGACTGTATATATATATGTATACTTGGGATGTCACCTTTTGTCTGCTTGTTTATTTGTAGGTATGGCGTCGTACTTTGATGAACATAACTGTGAGCCTACAGTGCCGGAGGAGCAGTATCGCCAGAATGCCTTGTTAGAGCTGGCAAGGTGAGCAACCTGATCAACACTAGGGATGAGCATGGGTTTCAAACCACACCTGGAAGCATGTTGTCACTCCCACCAAATCATCAGCCTGGGCATTCTCTGCCCCACAACTCCAAAAGGGTGGAGATGCTTGTGATACCATTGACGTAACTTGGCTATAATAAGTCAACGACATTGTCCAAATATGGCCATGTGACCATATTAGGTCAATGATGTCACTAGCATCCCTGGCCTTTTGTTATATACAGCTGCAGGGTGGAAATGTCCTGGCCGTAGCTGATTAAGTGGGAGGGTCAGCTTGCTTCCATGCTCATCCCCAATCAACACAGATGTCCCATACTGTTCCCATTTTGCTGGTTGAAGATTTTTTTAATGTGAACTTGTGCTTTGAACCTTTTTTCCACACTTTCAGCAAGTCCTGTTCTGTGTTTAGACTGGTTACTCTCATTTCCCTGCAAGCTTGCATCTCCACAATATAAGCCTTTTAAAGCCCCGGCATCCCTTTAGGTGTGCATGCTCAAGCAACTGATCAGCAGATTGCACAGCTAAAGTCTCCATCCTGACTCAGTCTTTGCTTTCACACTTGAGAAGGTAGCTATTGAAGAGGCAGATTCCTTGCCCTCTAAGGCATCAGAGGATGACACCTCTACTACTGAAATTTCACCCAAGCTAAAGGATACTATAGCTTCACAGTGGACACTCTGGTGGCTCCGAGTTTAGTTCACCCTAATCTAATCTAATTCCTTTCCACCCCTCCATATTCACCCTTGTCTACTTTGCAGGAACGAGATGAAGGGTATTCTGATGATGCTCCTTGAACCATATTTTCCTAGGAGGACATGGTATTTGGACATACCCAGACTCCTGGCAGATGCTGCATGGGCCCTTCAAGAGTGCCTGAACTTTCTGTCCCAAGAGCCAGATTTCCATCCTACTTCTTGGTTGCTAACTTCAATGGCATTGCTGTTGAAGCCACGGACCTGAGGGAGAAGAACCTTTCCAGGGATGTGCAATTCCTGATATCCGGCACCCAGGACATGCAGTTCCAGGTGTTGAGCATCAGGTTTTTTACTACATGTAGCCCTGCTGTGTGGGCAAGCAGCAAGGTTTGGAGCTGACGGTCAGCTCTTTCGTAAAAGGAATCCGAGCAGTTAACTAGCCGCTGGATCACTTTTACAAGCAGCAAGAATGGAGATTAACCCCCCCCCCCCCCTTCCCACTGGTGGTGGAATGAGTGGGGACAAGCTGCACTGTGTGCACATGTTGGCTTGGACATGGAGGACCGGGACTGGGGGTGGCTTGGCCTGTCTGTGGTGGCGCTGTTGCTTATGAGAGTGGCGGCTGTGACCAGGCTTGTGGAGCAACACATTGCTCCAGGGAAAGGAGAGGAGGAGAGTGGAGCCATCAGTACACTGGCTCCGGCAGGGTTCGAAGTGGCTGTGGCCTTCCCAGCTGTAGATGGAGGATAATGAGGTCTCGGTTAAGCCAGTGGAGAGCTGGGAAAGCAGTGAATAAGACCTCAAGCCCTGCCATCTATACAGCACATGGGGCTCCACCACCTCTGATATGAATGTCCTGGAGGACTCCATGATGACAATCTCACCTGAGGGCCCCACTGACAGCATGAGGGCCACATATATAGTGAGAAGTCACCGCACAAGAGCTTCTCTCTGCCATCTTTTTCCTTGGACTCATTCAGGTCTATCCCTGCCCTCTTCCATCCTTCAGTTCATATTCCTGGACTCTTCCATTCCTATCCATGGATTCCTCCATCCTTCAGTTTTTATCCCTGGACTCCTTCATCCTGCAGTTCCTGTCCCCAGACTGCTCCACCCTTCCTTTCTTATCCATGGATTCCTCTATCCCTATTCCTGGGCTCTTCCATTCTTTAGTTCCCACACCCCCCCTTTCCCGGACTTCTCCATCCTCCATCCTTTCAATTCTTACCTCTGGACTCCATCCTTTTTTTTTTTTTTTTTCTATCCATGGATTTTTCCATTTTTCATTTCCTATCTCCAGACTCTTCCATCCTTCCATTCTTTATCCATGGACCCCTTCATCCTTCAGTTCTTATCCCCAGACTCCTCCATCTTTCCTTTATAATTCATGGATTCCTCCATCTCTATTTCCGGGCTCTTACATCCTTCAGCAGAGCAGTTCCGATCTTTGTCTGCCTCTATGATATGGTGTTTGCTATCTATTTTGTGGTTTTTTTTTTTTTGCATTAAAATTCACAAAAAGTGCATTTTTTCCCAATAAATTGCATTTGTAAAATCATTGTGCAAATACCATGTGACATAAAAAATTGCAACACCCACCAATTTATTCTCTATGGCCTCTGCTTTAAAAAATATATAATGTTTGGGGTTCTAAGAAATTTTATAGCAAAAAATAAAAAAAACAAAGGTAAAGTCGCTTTCGTTTTTAAAAGCCTCAGACATTCCTAAAAGCACCTCTGCCTAGTAAAAAAAAACATCAACCCTTCACATTTTCCATCATGGCAAAAATTATTATTTTTTTTATCAGGACAAGTAAATTGTCATGAGGGACTGGGACCCCGATTTAGTCTCTTGGACAAGTAGCTTTTAAAAAAAATTCCACACCCCTGCCTTTTGGATTCTGCCATTCCTATCCTATTAAAGGCTAGTAAAGTGACCTCTTACAAAGTCTGGTTTGCTTGGTACATGACAAGGAACTTTAAGCTTGGAAAAAGTACTCTGTGGGACATATTCTGCCTTTCCTCCAGTCCAGTCTGGATCAGGTTCTGGCCTTGAGTACTATCAAGGGAAAAAATCTTGGCCTTATTGGATGTCCTCTTGAGACTTAAGTCTGGCTATCTTGGCTCTGCAGAAGCTGCCCTTTGAACCTATTAGGAATATTCTCTTGTCTGACCTTTCTTGTAAGGTGACCTTTCTTGTTCTTCTTGCTATCACATCTGCAAGGAAAGTCTCTGAATTAGTGGCTGTATTCTGCAAAGATCCCTTCTTAATGCTGCATAGGGACAAAGTTGTTGTGAAGCCATATGACCTCCTTTCTCTCTAAGGTGGTCTTTGCTTTCCACCTCAGTCAGGATATTGTCCTTCCTTGCGTCATGCTCTGAAGCACCCTAGGGAAATTTCCCCTTGCCATCTGAATGCATTGCATGCTATGAGAGTTGACCCTCGAGCTGTGGCTTCCTTTCGGAAATTGGATTCTCTCTTTGTAGTTCCTGAGGGCCTCTGCACTCCTCTATTACTAGGTGGACCAGACAAGCTATCATTAAAGGCTATAGTCTGAAGGATAGGGTTCTTCCCTTCCCTGTTAAGGTGCAGTCTATTAGATCTGTCAGTGCTACAGCATATGTATTTTAGATCTTCTAGTTTGTACTTGGTCTTTGCCATGTTTGTTTACATGTTAAGTTGTGCCAAGTGGATATTCAGTCCTCTTCTGATGCCAGTTTCAGTTGTAAAGTGTTACAAGCTGTTCTGAATCTGTTGAGCTGCCTTGACCCATTTTTATTCTTTGGGCCTGATGGCATTGTTGCAGTGTTGCCTATACCTCAGTTGGACTGCTTTTGGACATCCTAGTCATAATGATTTAAAGAAACCTGTGTCCTTTACTGTACAATCAGAAAAATTGGGCTTTTTGACTTTGCTGTACTCCAGAAATCATATTTTACTGCCAAGGAAACAGGACCCCCTCCCCTCTGTTCTTATGATCTCCCTACTGATTGCAACAGAACTGAGGTTTATATAGGGGATGTCTCAGCAGCTTTTTGCCAGTGTCCAATCCCAGGAAGATAGGTGCATATTAGCCAGTAGTAATCATTTAAAGGAGCCTGTGTCCTGTATTGTACTAATTTGTAGACTCACCGGCCACTTTATTAGGTACACCTGTTCAATATTTTGGTAACACAAATTGCTAATCAGCCAATCATATGGCACCAACTCAGTGCATTTAGGCATCTTGACGTGGTGAAGACAACTTGCTGAAGTTAAAACCAAGCGTCAGAATGGGGAAGAAAGGGGATTTAAGTGACTTTGAACATGGCATGGTTGTTGTTGCCAGACGGTCTGGTCTGAGTGTTTCAAAAACTGCTAGTGTACTGGGTTTTTCATGCACAACCATCTTTAGGGTTTACAGAGATTGGTCCGAAAAATAGAAAATTTCCAGTGAGCTTCAGTTTTGTGTATGAAAATGCTGCGTTGATGTCAGAGGAGAATGGGCAGACTGGTTGCTGCGACATTCAGATGGTAGGGTCAGAATTTGGCGTACACAACATGAAAGCATGGATCCATCCTGCCTTGTATCAACGGTTCAGGCTGGTGGTGTAATGGTGTGGAGGATATTTTTTTGGCACTAGCAAGGTGTACCTAATAAAGTGGGCGATGAGTGTATTTTACTGGTAAATCAGAAATCTTTTTTTTTTATCTGTTGACTTACAACAAAAAGTTAATCTCAGAAGGTGTATGAAAGTGAATAAAAAAATTGATGATGCGCTACCCAATCAAACAGACCCCTAAATAAAGATGAACCAAAGTGAAATAGGTGCAAATTAAATATATATAAAAAGCAAACAAACAAACTCGTGATAAAGGGCCATGAGGAAGTCACGTGATTCGTGAAGTAACACGTAGCACGGAAGGGTGGTGACATAATTTCCGGTACGGACGGCAGCCACCATCTTGGAGCACCTAGTGCTGTACACCTCTCTGCCAATGCAGTTTTCCATGCCTGTATGGGTCTGTGGACCTGGTTTCATGTGAGTAGTCACTCTGCTGTGTTTTATTCAATAAACGGTTTACTTACTACACTATGGGAGTTTTTTAATTTAATTTCCATGTGTGGGCTATTGGAGAGGAGAGAGTTTTGGCCATATCCGTGTGGGTACCTCTGAGTTTACTGCTGGTACGTTGATGAGTGTCTACCATTGCCACTATAGAGGATTGCCCTGATCATTTACAAAGGAGTATCATCGGATGAGTGCATTTTTAGCCTTATAATCCCTTGCGGGTTGCAACCTG